ACCTCGCCATCGTCCAGGCCATGCACCCGCAGGCGCAGGTTCCCCAGTCGCCGCAGCAGAGGCGCCTGGAGGAAGAGCGCCGTCGCAAAGAGCAGGAGGAGCAGTACCTCGCCCAGCAGCAGTTGCAACAACAGCAACAAGAGGAGTCGGACCAAGACGCCCTCGACCAGTACAACTTTGACTACCACCGGGTACCTGAAGAAATGCCCTTTCCTCTGTGTGTATGACATGCTAACAAGCTTCCAGGGTGCCTCTCAGTACGGCGACAACAACTCGCATGATGGTGTAGATTATGTGGACGACGCGCAAATTTACGAGTACGAACATGGCGGCGGCGGCGGCGGCGGTCAAAACCAATCTCAAGGCAACGACAACAGTTACGGCGACGAGTACGGTGGAACGCACGGCAAGGAGTACTATGACCAGTATGATCAAGGCAGCGGTGCGAACGGCGACGGTCGAGGGCGACACAGTGACGGTCGAGGGCGACACAGTGACGGTCGAGACGACATGTGGTGAGCTAGCAGTGATATGGACCATGTTGGGAGCTAGTGGGAGGGCAACAAGCGAATGTGTATAGATTTTTGCCCAAACGGCGAGGTTGTGCATATGGGCTGGAGTTCGGAGGGCCTGTCAGCGCCTGGGAGGATGCAAGCCATGGGTCGGGGGTTGTCCCATTCTCAATCGTTTTTTTCTTGGGGCCCTTCATTTTATTTCTTTCGGTATCACTTTGCATTTTCCCTCTTTCTCACCCCCTCTCTCTATCTCTCTCCTCTTCAGACAGGTCTGTATCTTTCCTTAATATCTCGGCGGGCCTCTCTGCGTTTAGGGAAGAGTCACAGACACCTGTCGAGAGAGCAGCACCTCATGTACACAGCATAGCGGCCCGGGGTTCAGGGATGGGTTGGAGCTCGTGCAAGAATTACATGAATTTTGGATGATGGATGACCGAGCATGATGTATCATGAGTATAATGTTCAGCTAGCGGTCTTGGCTCGACAGCCTTGGGGAGGGCAAGTTGCAGTGAATGGCGAGCCAGGAAGATGGATGGAGGTTGAAACTGGCGTAGAAAGTCAAACAAGCCAAGCCAAGGTGTTGACCTTCCAAGACAGGGGGCTAGAAAGACGGACATGTTTACATAAGCAGCTGCCTGTCGGTCAATGACCCCGACATCGCTCCCCTAACCCCCTGCCTCGCCAGCTGGGCACCAGTTTAAGCCGTTTCGGGGGAGCAGTCCCCTTGAAGCCACGAGCGCACGCGCCAATCCAGCCGTTCCCTCCAGAAGGTTAGGTTGGCTGGCAGGAGCTTTTCTAACGTGTACCTTACCGTGCCTGCACTGGACCCCCCCCCCCCGAACCGAACCCGACCACCAAGCAAAAATCAATAGCCTTACCAGGGGACCATCTCTTGATTCTACTTTGTCGCAAACAGCCCCATCGTCTTCTTCATCTCCCACCGTCAGCTCCTTTGATACCCAAGTTCCTCCGACCTCCATCGCGCATCTTCGAGCTCTTTTGCACCCCATACGAACCTTTCCAGACGAAGCTCGCCTCAGCTGGACCCTCCCATACCCGATCGTCACCGCGACTGCCCCCATCTACACAAAGAGGAGAGAGACAGAGAGAGCATGGCCGCCGTAAGTCCATCTCGAGCAAGCCCCGACTGGCGACCTGGCTCTTACGTCGTACACCCTTCGCGCTGGCAAAGACTGACAACCGTGATACCATGCAGCCGCGTCAGTTCAACAACCCGGGCTTCACCCCCAACGGCGCCGCCCCCCTTCTTCCCAACCAGGGCCGTGTTATCCAGACCGGTCCCATCAGAGTTCTCTGCATTGCCGATGTCCGAGGTATGCTAGCTTCACGAACAAGCGCTTTTGATGACCGTGTGTTAAGTTGACGTTTCGCTAGGCAACCTCAACTCCCTGAACGAGCTTGCCAAATCTGCCCGCGCCGACCACATCATCCACACGGGTGACTTTGGTTTCTACGATGATACCTCCCTGGAACGGATCGCAGAGAAGTACGCTAGGCCCTCCTTCCCGGCGTGCTCTAGCCACCTCCCCCTTTGCCGACCATGCTGACCCGCCCACCCGCTAGGACCCTCAAGCACGTCGCCCAGTACTCTCCGCTGATTCCCGAGCCCATCAAAAAGTCGATCCAACAAGGCGGCCCCGGTTCCGTCAAGAGCCGCTTTGCGCCCAGCGACCTTCCCCTCTCCGAGCTCTCTCTCCTGCTGAGCGGCGAAATCAAGCTCGATGTGCCCGTCTACACCGTTTGGGGCGCGTGCGAAGATGTCAGGGTGCTGGAGAAGTTCCGGTCCGGCGAGTACAAGGTCAACAACCTGCACATCATAGACGAGGCTCGGTCCATGCTGCTCGAGCTCGGAGGTGTCAAGTTGCGTCTCCTCGGTCTCGGCGGCGCCGTCGTTATGCACAAGCTCTTCGACAACGGCGAGGGGCGGACGACGATCGCCGGTGGCCAAGGCACCATGTGGACCACGCTCCTGCAGATGGGTGAGCTCGTCGACACTGCTCATCGCGTCTATGACCCGACTGAGACGCGCGTCTTCGTCACCCACGCCTCGCCCGCGCGCGAGGGTATCCTGAACCAGCTGTCCGTCACGCTGAAGGCCGATTTCTCCATCTCCGCCGGTCTGCATTTCCGTTACGGAAGCTCCTACAACGAGTTCAGCGTCAATCCGACTCTCGATCACTATCGCGGCAAGCTGGCCGCCTCCAAGGCGTCCTTCAACGACGTGTGGGAGACGGTCAAGAGCGAGGTGGAGCCTGCTATTTCTCAAAACGAAGCCCAACAGAACCTCCTTAAGAACGCTCTGGCTATCGTTGAGAAGATGCCCTCGACTGCTGCCGGTGGCAATCCCTTCGGCGGCCCCGTCCAAGGCCAGGCTCAGCTGGGACAGGTCGACGAGAGCGCTTTCAAGAACATGTGGAACTTCAACCTAGCGGACGCTGCCTTTGGCTGGCTCGTCCTCGAGATCCAGGACGGAAGGATCGGAACGGAGATGCGCGCACAAGGCTTCAACTTCTCCCATAGGGGCGCGAAGCAGCAGCCCGGCGCCGCCCCTAGTGCTCCTCAGTCTGTCTCCAACGCTATCCCTGCCCCTCCCGCGACCCAGAGCACCGCCCCTCCCCCCACCAGCCGCCAGCCTTCGCAAGCCGCCAACAAGCCAACAGTGGCTACGCCCGCCGCCGCACCGAAGCCCGGCACTCCTCAGCCGGCCGCGCCCCCCTCCGGTCCTGCCAAGGAGCAGGAGAAGCCGGCCGCCCCTGGGGCTGCCAACGGATCGACGAACGGACCGGAGCCCGTGTCGTCGCCTGCGCCTAAGACCCCCGCGCAGGATATCATTGGTCTCTTCGTCATGAACGTCAACTCGGAGGAGCAGACGAAGGAGCTCTTCGACCCTGAGTACAGAGGCAAGATCACCAAAATTGAGAAGTGGGGCAACTCGAACAAGGTCGTGCAGTTCGCCAGCGCCGAGGACCGTGACGCCGCCCTCAACAGCCTGCCCGAGGACCTGAAGACGCGCGCCCAAGAGGACCGTTCGCGCCCTCTGGTGAAGATCTTTATCCACCGCGAGAGCAAGTTTGCCCCGCGCGGCGGTGCTGGTAGCTGGGGAAGCAGCCGCGGCGGTGCCGGTTCTGCCAACACGGGCAGTGGTTACCGCAGCGCTGGTGGAGCTAGTGATTCCGAGAGCAACCGCCGCGGTGGACGTGGAGGACGCGGCGGCGGCCGTGGCAGCGAGCGCGGCCGTGGACGTGGTCGCGGTGGCTTCAAGGGTGAGGGCGGTAGCTCTTCTCCCGCCCCGGCATCTGCCACGCCTGCCGAGTAAGAATCGTTTTAGGGTTAGTGAGGAAGCAGGTATTACGACGAAGAAACGGGAGACGGACCAGGACGGAGGTTGTCAGGCAGAGCTGGGGGGCAAAGGGGTTTAGGGCAGTATGACCCTCCACCTGTCACCCATGCCATGGAGAGATGTCCGCAGGGTCCAGTCTCCCGTCAAGTTTCGCCTATGCCCATACATAGACATGGGGCTCCTTCTTGTGCCCTTACCAGTCTGCTTACGAGCCTGCGGGTTCGTTTAATGGCAATCTCTTTTTTCTTTTTTTTGTGCCACGGCAAGCAAAAGGGGGGAAAGGAAAGGGCCGGATGGGCCCGTTCACTGCTACCAATTCTTGTACGCGTACCGCCTTGATGAAGGCCCGGGGAGGTTTGGAGGAGTTAGCCAGGTTAGCCTAGTCTAGCTCGGGCAGGAGTTTTCGACGTTGCGGAATCGACAAAAGGATTTGAAATGTGATGGCTGTGCTTTGCTGTGACGTTGATTTCTTGAATGTTTTAATCTTTTGCGTTCGCTGGTGAAGCATGTACTGATAGACAATGTTTGTTAGCTAGGCGTGTCTTGTTATCATTTATCTGATCCACGAAGATGATGAGCTGCTGTGGGATGACTAGCTGTTGGCCGCAAGCTATTTAGCTATTTCACATCGCGGAACGAGAGCCGGGGAGTAAGAACGGCAATCCCTCCCCTAGTGTTTGATGCCTCATGGTACGGCATGCGCAAATAGGTACCGCGGCATAATCATGTCTCTCGTCCCCCAAGCATGTACCTGGGCCGCTGTGACTAGGTAGTCACAGCGGCCCGTACCATCAGCCTAAGCCTACTTAAATAGTCTTTCCAAAAAAAAAAAAACAGTGCTTGAAATGCTGACCTGAGAGCAGGCTCCAAGACCTGCATCTTGTCAAGTCACTTGCACAAAAGAACAGTACGACCTGTGGGCGACTCAGAGTGCTTCTATCATTCATTCTCTGACGGCATACCCCAGTTCCACGGCAGACGACCCCCGCCTGTATACAATAATGCAACATGTTGGTACAAGAAATACAGCCCCCTCCCCTCATTGTCCGACATGCCGTCACTTATCGCCCCCGCCCTTCCCCCCCAACCCCGCCCCAAAACAGGCCCAGGGCACGGCCCGGTCCTCAGAGCGGCTTCATGCCCTTGTGAATGGCAGCAATACCGCCCGTGAGGTCCTCATAGCCGTCACCGGCAACCTCAAAGCCGGCAGCGACAATCATGTCGCGGAACTCCTCCTGGGAGGGGAAGCGCTCGATGCTCTCGACGAGGTACTGGTAGCTGTCGCGGTCGCCGGCGACGAGCTGGCCGATGAGGGGAATGGCGGAGAAGCTCCAGCGCTTGTAGGCAAAGTTGAGCAGCGGGTGCTTGTCGACCTTGCTGAACTCGAGGCAGGCGAAGACGCCGCCGGGCTTGAGGACGCGGCGGGCCTCGGCGAGGGCGGCGGGGATGTTGGTGAAGTTGCGGATGCCGAAGGCGACGGTGTAGAGGTCGACCGAGCTGTCGGGGACGGCGCCGTCGGGCAGCCGCTCGGCGTTGGCTTCGAGGAAGGAGAGCGAGGCCTGGTGGTGCGCTGGCAGGGCGCGCGAGCGGTCGCGGCCGACGCCTAGCATCGAGGGGTTGATGTCGGAGATGGTCACGCGGAGGTCGGCTGGGACGCCGGCTGGGGCGGCGCGGTCGGCGGCTGCGAGGAGGCGGAAGGCAATGTCGCCTGTGCCGCCGGCTATGTCGAGAATGTGCTGCGGTGTCGGGGGGTTGGTGGAGGAGAGGCCGGGCGAGAGGGAGGATACGAATTGGTCCCTGGGAAAATGTCAGCGATATGTTGAGAGGTGGACAGAACGGGGGGCACGCGGGAGCACTGACTTCCATATCCTGTGCCAGCCAAAGGACATCATATCGTTCATGCGATCATACGAGTCGGCCACGCTGTGGAAGACGCCAGCGACACGATCGGCCTTTTCGGACTCGAGGACGGTTTCATAGCCAAAGTGAGTGGTCTTGGTAGGGTCGTTAGATGGGGGGGCTTCGCGACGCTGGGCCGTCAGGGCGAAGGCCCGGCGTTGAAGGGGCGTGGCATTGATGTGTCGGGAGAGGGTTCGCAGGCCCGTGGATGGGCGAAGGGCGCGCGTTGTCGCCATCGTGGTTGTCTTGGAGGGGGGGCGTGATATGTCCTGGGTTGAAAGTCAGCCCGATGGATGCATCTCTCGATCGTCCCGTCACGACGGAAATTTTAGTGGGGCGCGGAATACGGAGCGATCATTGTGGCGTCCCCGAAACGTCAAGCCACATGCTTGACTTTGACCCTTTTCCTACCATCACCGACATGAGGGCGAAACTTACGTTAGACGGACGTGATGGTCGTCTCTGTACGGCGGGCTGGGCGAGTTCGGACGTTGTTCATCAGGTCGGCAAAGTTGTCGATCTGTCGCCAGCCGAGATAGGCAAGTCCGCACACAACGCCGAGGACGCAGATGATAAGGATCGCCAGTTGGCCCGATGGTCCCATGGTATGTACGAGAAGGCTGTGCAAGGTTGATTCTTTGTTTCTGCTCGATTGAATCTGATGTAAGACGGCTGATCGGTTGGTTCGCGTTGTATGGGGATGCAACCAAGGTTCTGAATGCGGTACCTACCCAAGAATATCGGGCTTGGGGTGTGATGGAAAGAGCCTCGAAAATGCATTGCGAGTTATTCTGTTGCCTGCATTATATCTGCTTGCCATCCCCTCTGCCACGCCACGCGTAACGCGCAACGCGTGGTGATGAATCAAGTGCCTAGCAACGCGCAACAGGCAGAGTGCTGGCAAGAGTTGCTAGGCCTCAGTCGTAGGACGATCTGATGACTGATTTTACTCGTCGCATAAGCGCCATATCACTCAACAGTGCCTTCGTAGGGTTATGGGGTTGAACAGCAGAAGGCGCGGCCTGCTCCTCAAGACTCTGCCGTACTCGATATTTTCACGGCGGCCCTCAGAGCCCACTCTACATTTTGCCTCAATACGGAATGCATATTTTACTAAGCCACAAGCCAAGGTTCACGGTCAAGCCTGGTCATGAAGTTGCTAGCTATATGCAACGAGCCTGCTCATGGTGTCAGCAAGGCTGTATGCGGACTCGAGCCTGTCGTCCTGGCGTAAACCCGTTTGTCTCTATTCCGATTCCTTGAGGCATTAGAGAATCAGAGCTGATAAGTTTGGACAAACTGATTCGAGCCTCATCAGCTAAATCGGCTGAAATACTGTGACTGCCTAGACAGTGTTTAAATTGGAATTCTTGCTCAACCAGGTGCTGGAGATCGTTGTAGCCCTAACTTGAGGGATACACAACAGCAAAGAGAGACAATTTAAGGTTTCTCGTGCATGGCTTCAATATGCATTTTCCCTTCTCTTTCAATGCGTGGTTTCTTAGCGTTACCAAAAACTATGAGCACAGCCTTCAATTCACATTTCGCCTACTGTAAGCACAAACTTAACTGATGGGAACAGAGCATCAATGATATGCACGCCTCGGACCATTCCACAGGCACAAGTTATATACGTATACGCCCAGTAACCTTGGTCAATGCCAGCCAGAGATGCCTAAAATAGACCGAGAAAGAGACTTCTAAGATAGCCATCCAAATGGCCCTTGTATTTCACGCCCCTGACGACTACCCATACTGCGGCTACGTGTGCTTGTAGTGAGCCAGCCCAAAATCCGGGGTCTCCAATCCCCAGCGGCAATGCACGGGCCATGAGCCCCCCCTATCTCCGCTGGCTGCTTCGCTCCCCTGGCTCCCTCCCCTGGCTCCCTCACAAGACCCCTCAAGGCCGACTGAGACCGTCGCTTTCTGTCGGCTCAACATGACGTCGGCTTCCAAAGGCATTCAGTCGGCATTGGCCCTCTCGTCTCGTCGCTTCGTTTCGCCTCGATTCAACTGCTACCGTCTTGATCCATTGTGCTTTACTCTTGTGTTTTTGAAGAGAAAGGATAATCACACGAGGTTCTGTCTGTCATCACCAAAAAGAGTTTCACAGAACGGGCAGCATCATGAAGTCAAGAGTCCTCCGACCAGCAGCGCACCTCCGCTCGGCCCGTCTCGCGAGCCCCTCCACCTCGACCCCCCGCCTCACCCTCTCCGCCCGCGCCGCCAGCTCCCTCTCGCAGAAGCCCAACGCGAACCACGTCTCGTTTCCTGGCGCCGTCAAGAGCGCCTTCACGCACACGCTCAAGTACGAGACGCCCTCCGACTACCCGGCCCTGTCGACCTACCGCGTCGTCGACCAGGATGGCATCGTCGTCGACGAGAGCTTCAAGCCGGATCTAAGCGATGACGAGGTCATCAAGCTGTACAAGGACATGGTCTACATCTCGATCATGGATCTCATCATGTTCGACGCCCAACGGCAGGGCCGGCTGAGCTTCTACATGGTGTCGGCAGGCGAGGAGGCGCTGAGCGTCGGTTCCGCCAGCGTGCTGGCGCCCGAGGACGTCGTCTTTTGCCAGTACAGAGAGCAGGGTGTCTTCAAGCAGAGGGGGTTCACGACGTCAGACTTTATGAGCCAGCTGTTCGCCAACGCCAAAGACCCCGGCCGCGGCCGGAACATGCCTGTGCACTACGGCAGCAAGGAACTGAACATTGTATGTATACAACCACGTTGATGCCAATTGGCCCCCGAACAGCCCAAGCCACTGACACGGGCATGCAGCACTCCATCTCCTCGCCGTTGGCGACGCAGCTCCCGCAGGCCTCGGGGGCGGCGTACGCGCTCAAGATGCAGCGCCTGCACGACCCCAGCATCCCGCCGCGCGTCGTGGCGGCGTACTTTGGCGAGGGCGCCGCCAGCGAGGGCGACTTCCACGCGGCGCTCAACATGGCGGCGACGCGGTCGTGCCCGGCGCTC